TTCGGATTTTATCGGAATGAAGAGATTAGTCCATAGGCCAAACTATAGACTAGACTATAGACTAGACTATAGACTAGACTATAGACTAGACTATAGACTAGACTATAGACTAGATTATAGACTAGACTATAGACTAGACTATAGACTAGACTATAGACTAGACTATAGACTAGACTATAGACTAGACTATAGACTAGACTATAGACTAGACTATAGACTAGACTATAGACTAACTATAGACTAGACTATAGACTAGACTATAGACTAGACTATAGACTAGACTATAGACTAGACTATAGACTAGACTATAGACTAGACTATAACTAGACTATAGACTAACTATAGACTAGACTATAGACTAGACTATAGACTAGACTATAGACTAGACTATAGACTAGACTATAGACTAGACTATAGACTAGACTATAGACTAGACTATAACTAGACTAGACTATAGACTAGACTATAGACTAGACTATAGACTAGACTATAGACTAGACTATAGACTAGACTATAGACTAGACTATAGACTAGACTATAGACTAGACTATAGACTAGACTATAGACTAGACTATATAGACTAGACTATAGACTAGACTATAGACTAGACATAGACTAGACTATAGACTAGACTATAGACTAGACTATAGACTAGACTATAGACTAGACTATAGACTAGACTATAGACTAGACTATAGACTAGACTATAGACTAGACTATAGACTAGACTATAGACTAGACTATAGACTAGACTATAGACTAGACTATAGACTAGACTATAGACTAGACTATAGACTAGACTATAGACTAGACTATAGACTAGACTATAGACTAGACTATAGACTAGACTATAGACTAGACTATAGACTAGACTATAGACTAGACTATAGACTAGACTATAGACTAGACTATAGACTAGACTATAGACTAGACTATAGACTAGACTAGACTAGACTAGACTAGACTATAGACTAGACTATAGACTAGACTATAGACTAGACTATAGACTAGACTATAGACTAGACTATAGACTAGACTATAGACTAGACTATAGACTAGACTATAGACTAGACTATAGACTTGACTATAGACTAGACTATAGACTAGACTATAGACTAGACTATAGACTAGACTATAGACTAGACTATAGACTTGACTATAGACTAGACTAGACTAGACTATAGACTAGACTACAGACTAGACTATAGACTAGACTATAGACTAGACTATAGACTAGACTATAGACTAGACTATAGACTACTATAGACTAGACTATAGACTTGACTATAGACTAGACTATAGACTAGACTATAGACTAGACTATAGACTAGACTATAGACTAGACTATAGACTTGACTATAGACTAGACTATAGACTAGACTATAGACTAGACTGTAGACTAGACTATAGACTAGACTATAGACTAGACTATAGACTAGACTATAGACTAGACTATAGACTAGACCATAGACTAGACTATAGACTAGACTATAGACTAGACTATAGACTAGACTATAGACTAGACTATAGACTATAGACTAGACTATAGACTAGACTATAGACTAGACTATAGACTAGACTATAGACTAGACTATAGACTAGACTATAGACTAGACTATAGACTAGACTATAGACTAGACTATAGACTAGACTATAGACTAGACTATAGACTAGACTATAGACTAGACTATATCTAGACTATAGACTAGACTATAGACTAGACTATAGACTAGACTATAGACTAGACTATAGACTAGACTATAGACTAGACTATAGACTAGACTATAGACTAGACTATAGACTAGACTATAGACTAGACTATAGACTAGACTATAGACTAGACTATAGACTAGACTATAGACTAGACTATAGACTAGACTATAGACTAGACTATAGACTAGACTATAGACTAGACTATAGACTAGACTATAGACTAGACTATAGACTAGACTATAGACTAGACTATAGACTAGACTATAGACTAGACTATAGACTAGACTATACTAGACTATAGACTAGACTATAGACTAGACTATAGACTAGACTATAGACTAGACTATAGACTAGACTATAGACTAGACTATAGACTAGACTATAGACTAGACTATAGACTAGACTATAGACTAGACTATAGACTAGACTATAGACTAGACTATAGACTAGACTATAGACTAGACTATAGACTAGACTATAGACTAGACTATAGACTAGACTATAGACTAGACTATAGACTAGACTATAGACTAGACTATAGACTAGACTATAGACTATAGACTAGACTATAGACTATAGACTAGACTATAGACTAGACTATAGACTAGACTATAGACTAGACTATAGACTAGACTATAGACTAGACTATAGACTAGACTATAGACTAGACTATAGACTAGACTATAGACTATAGACTAGACTATAGACTAGACTATAGACTAGACTATAGACTAGACTATAGACTAGACTATAGACTAGACTATAGACTAGACTATAGACTAGACTATAGACTAGACTATAGACTAGACTATAGACTAGACTATAGACTAGACTATAGACTAGACTATAGACTAGACTATAGACTAGACTATAGACTAGACTATAGACTAGACTATAGACTAGACTATAGACTAGACTATAGACTAGACTATAGACTAGACTATAGACTAGACTATAGACTAGACTATAGACTAGACTATAGACTAGACTATAGACTAGACTATAGACTAGACTATAGACTAGACTATAGACTAGACTATAGACTAGACTATAGACTAGACTATAGACTAGACTATAGACTAGACTATAGACTAGACTATAGACTAGACTATAGACTAGACTATAGACTAGACTATAGACTAGACTATAGACTAGACTATAGACTAGACTATAGACTAGACTATAGACTAGACTATAGACTAGACTATAGACTAGACTATAGACTAGACTATAGACTAGACTATAGACTAGACTATAGACTAGACTATAGACTAGACTGTAGACTTGACATAGACGACTATAGACTAGACTATAGACTAGACTATAGACTAGACTATAGACTTGACTATAGACTAGACTATAGACTATAACTACTATACTATACTTAGTACTATAGACTAGACTATAGACTTGACTATAGACTAGACTATAGACTAGACTATAGACTAGACTATAGACTAGACTATAGACTAGACTATAGACTTGACTATAGACTAGACTATAGACTAGACTATAGACTAGACTATAGACTAGACTATAGACTAGACTATAGACTTGACTATAGACTAGACTATAGACTAGACTATAGACTAGACTATAGACTAGACTATAGACTAGACTATAGACTAGACTATAGACTAGACTATAGACTAGACTATAGACTAGACTATAGACTAGACTATAGACTAGACTATAGACTAGACTATAGGCTAGACTATAGACTAGACTATAGACTAGACTAGACTAGACTAGACTATAGACTAGACTATAGACTAGACTATAGACTAGACTATAGACTAGACTATAGACTAGACTATAGACTAGACTATAGACTAGACTATAGACTAGACTGTAGAGTAGGATAAAATACTAGCCTACAAACTAGTCTATGATGAGCTTTACACTGTCATTTAGAAGTTGTATGTTTTAATCATGTACCCATAATTTTCAGTATATTTATACCGGATATCTGTACAGGGTATATAGTAAGTCGGTTTTATTTGAAATTCTCATCTATATTTGTTTTGCTGAGTAATGAAAACATTCTTTAAATAAATCACTATAGTAAATAATTATTTACAAATCATGTTAAATTACGTAGAAACACTTGATTAAAATATTTCGCTTTGGGAATCACACTGTTTAACAAATTTTTAAAATATAAATTTCGAAATTAAAAAGAATCCACTCAAAGAATTCTTAAAATTTGAAATGCTTAGATTAAAATCATATATTCCAACACTTTATAAAAAAAAATTAATATACTATTTATTATATTAAATACCATTTTATGATCTTTAAAACAGTTTCATTAACATAATCGTTAATTTTATTTACATTAATCGATTGAGATAATTTGCTAATTTGAAAATTCCCAGTAAAAAATCCAAAACTTCCGCATTTTATAGTTAGAAAAATTCAAAATTATTATCAAATAGCTGTATTTACTAGTGTCGAATTTGATGATCAGATGAGTAAACACGCACGATCATATGTTACCGCTTTAAAATAACAAGTCTTAGTTTAGTACGAGAGCATTTGGTAGATTTCTCAAAAGGCAAATAACCTTTTTCAAGTTTAGCCAGCTAAAAGTGGTTTTCTAAAAAGAAGAAAACAAAAATCAAAGGGGATTTTAAATGGGAATTAAAGATGGGTTATTAACTAGAAATAAAAAAACATAAATAAACATAAAAAAATATGTCAAATTTAATAACAAGTTTATAACAATTTTTAGAAGATTTGTTTGTTGGTAAACAAATTTCAGAACTTCAAAATGGCTAGCAAAGACTTTTCAAATACACTACTACCTACCAAAGATAATCAATACTTCTTTCTCATAGGTGATAGTGATCCTCTAATGATCAAATTTCTTCAATATTGTTTTATACAATATAATCATATTGTATTATGTATTTATGTTGTTTTTTTTTAATTGTTGTTTTTATTATTGATCTTTGTTTTTATTAATTTTTTGCGACATTGGCTTTACATTTTGCAAAATTTTATTTTTGGCGGGGAATTTTTTTTCTGCTAGTATTTTGTTATGATCATATTCTCTCAAAACAAAATTTATAATTTGAACATTTACGTATTTCGTTATTTTGTTTTTGTTCTCTGAAAAAAACATAGCTTTTTATTATATTATTAATAAAAGTGGAAATTAGTGGAAAAAATAACACAATAATCAATCAATCTCTATATGAGGAGTCTTAATTGCTTTTTATCTTAAAGAAATGAGAAAGGTTTTTTTGCTATAAATAGTTTTGCTCGCATTTATTGTTTCATTAGTTGTGTGAGCAAATCGAAACAGTGAAAACATTTCATCGAATTAAAAAAAAAAAAGTTACAAAATGAAATTATTCCTTATTCTGGCCATGCTCATTGCAGCCGTTTGCGCTGTACCCCAATTCGGTTTCGGTAGTGCTTATGGTGGTGGTGCCGGAGGCTTTGGACGTCCTGGTTTCGGTGGTGGCGGTTTTGGTCGTCCCGGTTTCGGCGGTGGCAGCTATGGTCGTCCTGGTTTTGGTGTTCGTCCAGGCTTCGGTGGCGGACGTCCCGGTTTCGGAGGTGCAGGCGGTGCTTCCTCATCTGCTGCTGCTTCGTCTAGTGCCAGCTCCGCCGGTGGTGGCCGTTTAGGCGGTGCTGGTTCCGCTTCTGCTTCAGCTTCTGCTTCCGCTGCTGCTGGTGGTGGCAACAGATTCCGCGGTTAAAAACGCTATTCATAGTTAAAACAAACTTTCTATTGTAGTTTCCATTAAGTTATTATTTATTTTAAGTTTTATAAAAAATATATAATAGAAAAATCAACAACAATTTTGTGAAATTTTATTAATGTATAAAAAGTTGACAAAGTATTGTAGTGGTTACACATCACGAATACATTTCAACACAAACATTAGAACTGAACTAGGACTGAACTAGGACTGAACTCGAACTGAACTAGAACTGAAGTAGAACTGAACTAGAACTGAGCTAGAACTGAGCTAGAACTGAACTAGAACTGAACTAGAACTGAACTAGAACTGAACTAGAACTAATAGAACTGAACTAGAACTGAACTAGACTGAACTAGAACTGAACTAGAACTGAACTAGAACTGAACTAGAACTGAACTAGAACTGAACTAGAACTGAACTAGAACTGAACTAGAACTGAAACTAGAACTGAACTAGAACTGAACTAGAACTGAACTAGAACTGAACTAGAACTGAACTAGAACTGAACTAGAACTGAACTAGAACTGAACTAGAACTGAACTAGAACTGAAACTAGAACTGAACTAGAACTGAACTAGAACTGAACTAGAACTGAACTAGAACTGAACTAGAACTGAACTAGAACTGAACTAGAACTGAACTAGAACTGAACTAGAACTGAACTAGAACTGTGAACTAGAACTGAACTAGAACTGAACTAGAACTGAACTAGAACTGAACTAGAACTGAACTAGAACTGAACTAGAACTGAACTAGAACTGAACTAGAACTGAACTAGAACTGAACTAGAACTGAACTAGAACTGAACTAGAACTGAACTAGAACTGAACTAAACTGAACTGAACTAGAACTGAACTAGAACTGAACTAGAACTGAACTAGAACTGAACTAGAACTGAACTAGAACTGAACTAGAACTGAACTAGAACTGAACTAGAACTGAACTAGAACTGAACTAGAACTGAACTAGAACTGAACTAGAACTGAACTAGAACTGAACTAGAACTGAACTAGAACTGAACTAGAACTGAACTAGAACTGAACTAGAACTGAACTAGAACTGAACTAGAACTGAACTAGAACTGAACTAGAACTGAACTAGAACTGAACTAGAACTGACTAGAACTGAACTAGAACTGAACTAGAACTGAACTAGAACTGAACTAGAACTGAACTAGAACTGAACTAGAACTGAACTAGAACTGAACTAGAACTGAACTAGAACTGAACTAGAACTGAACTAGAACTGAACTAGAACTGAACTAGAACTGAACTAGAACTGAACTAGAACTGAACTAGAACTGAACTAGAACTGAACTAGAACTGAACTAGAACTTAACTAGAACTGAACTAGAACTGAACTAGAACTGAACTAGAACTGAACTAGAACTGAACTAGAACTGAACTAGAACTGAACTAGAACTGAACTAGAACTGAACTAGAACTGAACTAGAACTGAACTAGAACTGAACTAGAACTGAACTAGAACTGAACTAGAACTGAACTAGAACTGAACTAGAACTGAACTAGAACTGAACTAGAACTGACTAGAACTGAACTAGAACTGAACTAGAACTGAACTAGAACTGAACTAGAACTGAACTAGAACTGAACTAGAACTGAACTAGAACTGAACTAGAACTGAACTAGAACTGAACTAGAACTGAACTAGAACTGAACTAGAACTGAACTGAACTAGACTGAACTGAACTAGGACTGAACTAGAACTAACTAGAACTGAACTAGAACTGAACTAGAACTGAACTAGAACTGAACTAGAACTGAACTAGAACTGAACTAGAACTGAACTAGAACTGAACTAGAACTGAACTAGAACTGAACTAGAACTGAACTAGAACTGAACTAGAACTGAACTAGAACTGAACTAGAACTGAACTAGAACTGAACTAGAACTGAACTAGAACTGAACTAGAACTGAACTAGAACTGAACTAGAACTGAACTAGAACTGAACTAGAACTGAACTAGAACTGAACTAGAACTGAACTAGAACTGAACTAGAACTGAACTAGAACTGAACTAGAACTGAACTAGAACTGAACTAGAACTGAACTAGAACTGAACTAGAACTGAACTAGAACTGAACTAGAACTGAACTAGAACTGAACTAGAACTGAACTAGAACTGAACTAGAACTGAACTAGAACTGAACTAGAACTGAACTAGAACTGAACTAGAACTGAACTAGAACTGAACTAGAACTGAACTAGAACTGAACTAGAACTGAACTAGAACTGAACTAGAACTGAACTAGAACTGAACTAGAACTGAACTAGAACTGAACTAGAACTGAACTAGAACTGAACTAGAACTGAACTAGAACTGAACTAGAACTGAACTAGAACTGAACTAGAACTGAACTAGAACTGAACTAGAACTGAACTAGAACTGAACTAGAACTGAACTAGAACTGAACTAGAACTGAACTAGAACTGAACTAGAACTGAACTAGAACTGAACTAGAACTGAACTAGAACTGAACTAGAACTGAACTAGAACTGAACTAGAACTGAACTAGAACTGAACTAGAACTGAACTAGAACTGAACTAGAACTGAACTAGAACTGAACTAGAACTGAACTAGAACTGAACTAGAATTGAACTAGAACTGAACTAGAACTGACTAGAATGAACTGAACTGAAGAACGTGAACTAGAACTGACTAGAACTGAACTAGTAACTGAACTAGAACTGAACTAGAAACTGAACTAGACTGAACTAGACTGAATTAGAACTAAGAAGGCATTGAAGCTAAACTTGCACTAAACTAGAAACTGAACTAGCTGCCAGTATACCTTAGGGACGTTGTGAAACCATATCTAAAGGTCAGAAATTACAATTCTAAGGTCGCTTTTGCGGTTACAAATTCATCATTCAAATCAATATCGCTCATGCAAAACTAACGTGCAACTTTTACACACACATCTACACATTTGTCAAAGTGTTTAAAGGCTTCAGGACACGCGCTGCTTTGAGTTTTGTCAATCTTTAAAAGGACCATATAGTTTTAAACTCTTGTTATCAGTGAAAACCATTATCTCAAACTATTGTTTAATTATGAATTAAATTTGAATATTGATTATGTTGTTTTCTACTTTTTGGCGTGATCGTGGTCATTATATATTTAATATGTGTTTTTGTGTTTTTTTTTTTTTTGCTATTAAGCCACGGGCCTGAAAGGTTTTTGATGTTTATGTTTGCGATATACATTGGTGGTCAATTGGGAATCACCCAAAATGGCAAAATACAAAATAAATGATCTTAAGAAGCTAAACACGTAATAGAGAGCAGAGTTATCAAATAAGTAACGGTTGAACAGATGAGGGTTTTTTCGAAAATCCGTTAATAAAATACAACAATAGAAAATAAATTTGTGTTTCCCTATGTTTGTGCTTTGAATAGAAGGTGTTAATTGTTGTTGTTAGTAGTAGAGCTATGATGTATGCGATACATCATACTCTCTGTTTAGTAAACTTTTACGCTGGGGATTTTTTTTTATTTTCTAATATTATAGTTCGAGATTCTCTCAAAATATAACTTTAATTCAGCCGCTTACACATTTTCGCTTACGCAGATCTCTTCACTAACGATGCTTAGAAATTTTGTTGGAAAAAGACAAGATATGTATAGCTAAGTGATCATTGATCACTACATAACAATAAATCAATCTCTTTAGAAGAGCTATAGTTAATATTGTTGTTGTTTCATTCAGCATATTTTATTATTCAGCACAGAGAAATGAGTTACAGTTTTTAGTATAAATACATTTGCACGCATTTATTGTGACATTAGTTGTGTGAACATATCTAAACAGTTTAAACAATTTGAAAGAAGATCACTAGTAACAAAATGAAAGTATTCATTGTTTTGGCCATGCTCTTAGCTGCTGTCTGCGCTGTACCCCAATTTGGCTTTGGTAGCCCCTATGGTGGTGGCGGCTTTGGACGTCCCGGTTTTGGTGGTGGCTACGGTGGCGGTTTTGGCCGTCCTGGATTTGGTGGCGGCTATGGTCGTCCAGGTTTCGGTGGTGGCTACGGTGGAGGTTTTGGCCGTCCCGGTTTCGGTGGTCCCGGATTCGGAGGTCCTGGTTTCGGTGGTGTCGGCGGTGGCTCCTCATCTGCCTCTGCTTCTTCCAGTGCTAGCTCTGCTGGCAATGGTTTTGGCGGTGCTGGTTCAGCTTCAGCTTCTGCATCCGCATCAGCTGCTGGTGGCGGTGGTTTCCGCGGTTAGAAACTTCTCAATAATTTTTTGTGTCACACAAGAGATTATTAAAAATTTTAAATTTTTGTAGCATTTTTAGTTCTTTTTTGTTATAGTTTCTTTTAAGTTATTTTATTTTTTATTTTAAGTTTTATAAAAAAAGATAAGTCTGAAAAATATAAAAAAAAATAAGAAAAAATACTTCGTTGTGGACATTTATTTACAACATCATAAAACTTCTGCATATTTGCGTGTTTAACAATATAACTTTTATTGTTATTACAAGTTCAAGAACTGCACTAAAACAGATAAAAACAGAACTAGAACTGAACTAGAACTGAACTAGAACTGAACTAGAACTGAACTAGAACTGAACTAGAACTGAACTAGAACTGAACTAGAACTGAACTAGAACTGAACTAGAACTGAACTAGAACTGAACTAGAACTGAACTAGAACTGAACTAGAACTGAACTAGAACTGAACTAGAACTGAACTAGAACTGAACTAGAACTGAACTAGAACTGAACTAGAACTGAACTAGAACTGAACTAGAACTGAACTAGAACTGAACTAGAACTGAACTAAACTGAACTAGAACTGAACTAGAACTGAACTAGAACTGAACTAGAACTGAACTAGAACTGAACTAGAACTGAACTAGAACTGAACTAGAACTGAACTAGAACTGAACTAGAACTGAACTAGAACTGAACTAGAACTGAACTAGAACTGAACTAGAACTGAACTAGAACTGAACTAGAACTGAACTAGAACTGAACTAGAACTGAACTAGAACTGAACTAGAACTGAACTAGAATTGAACTAGAATTGAACTAGAATTGAACTAGAACTGAACTAGAACTGAACTAGAACTGAACTAGAACTGAACTAGAACTGAACTAGAACTGAACTAGAACTGAACTAGAACTGAACTAGAACTGAACTAGAACTGAGAACTAGAACTGAACTAGAATTGAACTAGAACTGAACTAGAACTGAACTAGAATTGAACTAGAACTGAATTAGAACTGAAGTAGAACTGAACTAGAACTGAACTAGAACTGAACTAGAACTGAACTAGAACTGAACTAGAACTGAACTAGAACTGAACTAGAACTGAACTAGAACTGAACTAGAACTGAACTAGAACTGAACTAGAACTGAACTAGAACTGAACTAGAACTGAATTAGAACTGAACTCGAACTGAACTAGAATCGATTAAAAGCATTCATAAAGTTTCTTAATTTCAATTATGATCTAACGTCCCTCGAATAAAAAACAATTGAAAACTTTATTTAATTTAAATAAAATACTTTATATCCGCTGCTTAGAACGCCCTCTATTGTTTTATTTTTTTAAAATTTAAACTTTAAAGAAAAAAGCTGTTTATTTTTTTTTATTTAAAGCTTTTAATTAATTATATAAAAAGTATATTTTCTGTTTTGTTACGATTAGTATTTAATTTGCATATTGTTTTCGTATTTAGTTTAGTTTTTAATGTTAAACAAATAAAAGAGTGAAAGAGTTGTTTGACCAGAATAATATCTAATAAAACAACAGTGTTGTAAACATATCGAATCAAATGTCTTGATATAAATTTTAGAAATTTATGGGTCTCTGTGATGCCCTTTAAGGCAAATTTAAAAGCTTCGATATATATTTAAAAAAAATACAATTTTTAAAAATGTATTAGTAAAATTTTAATATTTATTTATTTGCAAAATTTATAGATATATTATGCAATGAAAGACTGGTTTAATTAGTGAATGAGCATTAAATTGTATTCATTTTAATCAAATTAAAATTGTCTAGGGGGAATACCTTTATGCTGGAATATATCAGTGTATTAAACATCAAGGATGATAAAGCAGTTCAGATTGAAAGTTTCTGTGGCTGCTTCAAAACGTTAAAGAAAACTGTCATCAGTTAATAGACTTTTCAAAAGTCATGGCATAAGTTTTGTGTTCCGTAAAATTTGCCCTCAATTTTCTTTATTTCAGCTGGCTACTCTGTTTCTATTTTAAACGTAGAAAACTAGTAAATTATAAGATTTATCCAAATTTTGAAAAAAGTTATAAATTACAATTTACGATCTAAACAAATTAACATTTTAAAGTTTATATATGTTTATGCAGAAATCAGAACTTTATGAACTTATATTCTGAATAGATATTTAAATATTCACAAAACATATTATTAATCTCTTCAGCGAAGACGAATACGAAAATGAAGAAACTTGAAGTACCAGTCAAAAATGAAGCTAATTAATAAAACGTTTTATAATTAAAAAAAAAATAAATAAATAAATATCAAAAAATAATAAACAAAAATTAAACAGAATTAAATTAAAAGAAATAGCAATTAAAAACTATAAAATATGACATGTTTCATAGAAGCACAGCTGTGACGTTAGGCGACAGTTAGAAAAATTAAGAATACTCTGGATCTTTATAAAGTTTTAAGACGATAGTCTGCCTTATTGGATTTTAAAACGATCTTGCTTTGTCCGTCTGGTTGTTGAAACAAGGATAGGACTCATCGCGGTGGAGAATGGCTTGTTTAGTAGAAAAATGTCGGTCTAACATTTTTCCAAGCCCCCGTCATAGTCAGATATATGTTGAGTAAAGCAATTGTTATAAAATTTGAAACAAGTCAGTTTAAATGCCCAGAAATTATACTGTAGAGTTTAGCGAAAACCTAGCAGCTCATAGCCCACTTCAGAAAAAGTCACCACAAGTCTTTTAAATTTTGTGGATATCGGTCCATAACAGAACTAAGCCTATTGCAATAATCAAATCACAACTTAAATTCAGCATTATGTTGTTTTTTGTTATAATTCCGAAATATTTTAACAATTTGTTGAAAAAAATTGTTCAACCTTCTATGGGGGCTAGAGTCAAATGAGGTCCGAGACTTATACAAGACTAAGTTATGCCGATTTTTGAAGAGATAGTAGAACATAATTATGAGCACAAGAGCATTTTTCGGGGGTGGCTAAGTGAAATAATGGACACACAGAAGGACAGACATTGCTTAATCGATTTAGAAAGTGATTCTGAGCCGAAAGTAGGTGGGTGTAGGAAACATATTTTTAGGTGCTGCAAATGCATAATACACTCACCACTGAACCTAGTAGTGTAGGGTATAAAACGTGTTTTATACATATTTAGTTCGAGCGGAAACGATCAGTCTCTGGCGAACCTATAAAGTATCCAAATAGTTATGTCCATCAGTATCTCTAAATCTAGATCTGTTCCGAAGGTCGTGACTAATGTTCTAATGTATGTTTAAACTTCTCAACACTTTATCTTGAGGTAGGTGAAATTTGTTTTTAAAAATGGACACACAGAAGGACAGAGAGACAGACATTGCTTAATCGATTCAGAAAGTGAATTTGAGCCGAAAGTAGGTGGTTGTAGGAAACATATTTTTGGGTGCTGCAAACATTAGCACAAACGCATAATACCCTCACCACTGAACCTAGTAGTGTAGGGTATAAAACGTGTTTTATACATATTTAGTTCGAGCGGAAACGATCAGTCTCTGGCGAACCTATAAAGTATCCAAATAGTTATGTCCATCAGTATCTCTAAATCTAGATCTGTTCGGAAGGTCGTGACTAATGTTCTAATGTATGTTTAAACTTCTCAACCCTTTATCTTGAGGTAGGTGAAATTTGTTTTTAAAAATGGACACACAGAAGGACAGAGAGACAGACATTGCTTAATCGATTCAGAAAGTGAATTTGAGCCGAAAGTAGGTGGTTGTAGGAAACGATCAGTCTCTGGAGACCCTATAAAGTATCCAAATAGTTACTTGTAGATAGTGATGCCACAAGTATCTCTTGATCTAGATCTCTTCGGTAGGCTGTGACTAATGTCACAGCATGTGAAATTTATTTTTAAAATCGGACCAACCATTTAGAAATTACATATTTATTTCCCTGATTCGTTGAAATTGCTTTAGTGTGAATAAAATACAGTGGAGATTACATAAAAATTACCTCAGAAGGGTACCAATATAGGGTTACTCAGAAACCAGCCTAATACTGTTGAGTCCAAAGTGATTTATTGTGAACAATTACAGCAATAGGTCCGATTTTTTTTGTCACATTTCTAAAGAGTATTAAAAATAAAATTTTAGCACAAAAATAAGTCTTCCGATTTCGATGCGTATTTCATACTTCTTAGTCGTCAACGCTTTTAGCCCTTATTATAAACTGTTTGAAAGAATATTTTATTTGATATTTTTTGCTAAGTACAAAATCATTATTTAATTTAAAATTATGGGGAAGACAATAAAAACTCGTTTATGTTTGTTTACTTCAGGCTTGTGTAAATAAATAAACAAAAAAAAAAAAAAAAATCAAATGCTAAATATACCGGCTTTTTTTCTTCGAAAATTTATAAAAAAAAGTACCCAAAAATAAAATAAAAATATGAATTTTAAATTTCTAACAAACATTCGCACTAGTAGTACTAGAGATATATACTAACTAATAAATACAAACATAATGCTGCTAATACAGAAGCTCCAACACTAATACAAGCACTACTTAACCAAACTAACAGATAGACGACAAACACTTCTAAATCTGTGTGTGTTAGTGTTATGAGGGGGTTTCATGATTTTATCACATAGACCCATTTAGATGCTAATTACTGACGCCACTACTTTAATACGTATATATGTATGTATATAGTGGATGATGAGAGTTTGTATTTGTTTTTATCTGCCAACAGATGTCTTCTTCCCTTATGGAAGAGAAATTTCAAATTGGGTTTTCAAACTTGAATTTTGTAGTTCAACTATAAAAGATGTTATGTTTCTAGGTTTAGCATCAGTTTAGTTTTGTCCATTCGAAACACCAAACAGTAGTCATAATGAAAGTATTTGTTGCTCTTGCCGTTTTAGCCGTGTGTTCCCAAGCCCAAGGTCAACGTCTTGGCTTCGGTGGTGCCAATGCCAATGCTGCTGCTAGTGCTAACGCAGCTGCTAAGGGTGGTGCCGGTGGTTTTGGCGGTCTAGGCGGTTTTGGTGGTGCTAATGCTGGTGCCAATGCTAACGCTAATGCTGGAGCTGTTGGTGGCGGTTTGGGTGGTGGTTTCGGCCGTCCCGGTTTCGGAGGTCCCGGTTTGGGAGGCGGTTTAGGCGGTGGTTTCGGTGGTGCCAATGCCGGTGCTAATGCTAACGCTAATGCTGGAGCTGTTGGTGGCGGTTTGGGTGGTGGTTTGGGAGGTGGTTTCGGCCGCCCCGGTTTGGGTGGCGGCTTCGGCGGTGCTAATGCCGGTGCTAATGCTAATGCCAACGCTGGTGCTACTGGTGGTGCTTTCGGTGGTCGCCGTCCCGGTTTGGGAGGTTTGTTGGGCGGTGGATTAGGTGGCGGTCTCGGTGGTGCTAACGCTGGAGCCAATGCTAACGCTAATGCTGGTGCTACCGGTGGTGGTTTCGGTGGTCTTGGCGGTGGTCTTGGTGGTGGTCTTGGTGGTGGTTTCGGTGGTGGTTCTTCCTCCGCTTCTTCCTCAGCTTCTGCTTCCTCTACCGCTGGTGGTCGTGGTGGTTTGGGTGGTTTCGGTGGTGCCAATGCTGGCGCTACTGCTAATGCCAATGCCAACACCCTTGTCCGCGGTTAAGCTCTAGTCCTAATTGTTGTCTAATGTTAAGACTAATTTATTACGAAAAAAAAAAATTTGAAAAAATACATAAAAAAAAACTAATAAAAATAAATTTTAAATGGAATTTTTTTTTCTTAATTAAAGCTTGTTAGCTAGTTTTTAAGCTGGTTTTGGGAACTGCTAGTTTAAATACAACTGAAATACTAAGAATGGTTAGACTTGCTCGACTATATTATAATATACTCTAGCTATGATTTAAAGAAATTTTTCCATTACGTCCTTTAGTGGTTCGACCACGAACCACTATTCCAAAAGTGGCCAACTTCGATTTACAATTTCTTCCGGCTCTCCAACAAATATCTTTTGAAAAACCGCCTAAACCGTTATACACGTGTATGTTGAATTAAAAGAAAAAAGTAATCGTGTCTCTTAAAATAGAATGATGAGCTCAGAGGAGATGATCTATAACAATGAAATTTTTCCGAAATTGTCTCTGATAAAGTTCGTACAAAACATCCATTCGTAAACCGTCATTATTAATTGATTATTCAGCAATCTAATACTAATTTGCACTAGTTAATCTTATGTTCCCAGAAAAAATACTGTAGAGTATGTCAAACATCGATTCACATTTGAACCTAGCCCTCATATAAGATGTATTTCTGATAATGACTTAAATGTTCATAATTTACTGAAAACATTAGTATATCGATTCTACATAAACAAGATTATCTACAAATTTCTCTACCAAATTTCATGATGATCACACCAAGAGTGCTGCTTATAATCTGACCAATGGCCCCATCAAAGAACAGCTTCGAAACCTACATTTTTCAAAAGATAAGAAAATTTTGCATAAATCTAGTAAATTAAAAAAATATTAGTAAAAAAAATGCCGAAATGATTGCTCCAAAATCATTAAAGTTCAAGGTTTAACAAAACCATTAAGACTTTTATGGGATCATTGAGATCTTTTACCAGATCGTTAAGATATTTTATCAGATCATTGAGATCTTTTATAAGATCAATCAGATACATATATTGTAAGATCATTCAGATCTTTTGTAATACCATTCACATCTTATATCAAGTTTATTTATCTGAAATTCTTAGATTGATATTATTTGGAAGGCAATTAATACTTCAACATATAAACCAGATGTAGTTTCTTTTCTTCAAAGCCTTTTAGAATTTGTTAAATTTACTTATATTTTATGACGTTTATATAATTTATACTAATGTCGTAAAAAGTACTACTATTAATCTATTACCCCAAAACGTCTGGATCCTTCAAACGTATTCGGTTAAAATTTATAAATTGCAAACAAAACCCAAAACAAATTAATATTTCCTCATGAATAATTTAATATAACTTGCTACTCATATAACCAATTAAATAAGATTTTACAATTTAAATTATTTAACATATATAATAAACAAATTATAACATAAGGTTTTCCAATAAAAACCGGAATGATATATATAATAATGTTTGGATAATAAGTAGAGTCTATTGGAGAGTATATTGTCATATGAGTAGTCTATAGTTGTCTAATCTATTAACTAGTCTATTGTTCACTGAATTTTCTTTGGACTAGCGTTTGGCCTACTCTACAGACTAGTTCATTGACTTGACTTTCAACTAGTCTATTGAAAAGAGTTTGGAATTTTCTATGAATTAGTCTACTGACTAAACTATGGACTAATTTATTGACTAAACTATGGACATGTTTATTGTATATTCTTTTCACTAGTCTTCTGACTTCTGAAAGAATTAGTCTTTGTATTAGTCTATGGACTAGTATATATACTAGTCTATTTCTTAGTCTGTTAAGACTGATTTATTGACGAAAGTATCGACCAGTCTATTGGCTAATATTTGGACTAGTCTTTTTGCTACTTAGTCTACTAAATAGGCCTTAGGACATTGTATTGACTAGTCTATGGAATAATCTATTGATTTGCCAATGGGCTTTCTATTGAATTGTATTTGAAATATTCTTTGGACTAGTCTATTGAGCTATCTTTGTATTTATATATACAATAATTTATTGACCAATCTATTGAATAGTTTTGGACTAGTCTTTGGGCAACTCTATGGACTAGACAAGTCTATGGACTCTCTTTAGTCTATTAACTACTTTATTCACTAGTGTTTGGACTATTCCGGCGTATTATCTTTTAACTAGTCTATTCTTTGTATCACATATAGGGCAGTCAATTGACTGGTCTATACTTGTTTCTGAACTTTATAATTAAATAGTTCATTGGCTTATATTTGGACTAGTCTATTGTGTAATATATGGACCATTCCTTGGAATAGACTTTGGATTTCTATATTTATTAGTTTATTGTCTATTCTATTGACTGGTCTATTCATCGGACTAGTCTAAGAGTTTAAACTATTCTATTGATAGGGCTTTGTAATAGTCTATCGACTAGATAATGGACTTGGATATTGCTTAGACTATGTACTAGTTTATTGATTACTTAGTTCATGAACTAGTCTATTGAACAATCTATTGACTAGACTATGGATTAGACTATTGATTTCTATATTGAGTGGATGCAAATCGGAATTAAAGATACAAATTCGAACATTTTGAAGATCGGTGTGTAAATCCACCGCCATATACTTTCAATTAATCATAGATTCGTCTTATTGGAAAACCCTTTATCAAACGAATTTTAAAGATTATTTATATTGTTCGATTTTACAGCTGCTGTTTATATCGTCAAAGAAAAAGGCCATTAAAGAAATTTTAAGACTTTCAAGATTCGTATTGAATATAATTTACACATATTAAAAACAAAATCATTAATTAGAGTAAACTTTTTTAAACTAGATTTATTTAATTTATTTTGTAAAATATATTAATTTACCCACTTAAAATGTTATGTTAATAAAATATACAAGAAAAAAAAAAAAAGAAAAATCAAAAATACACAGATAGATTTATCTTTCAAAATTTATTTTTTTAATTAAACATTAAAGCATTGTCAATTAAATCCATGACTTATTAATGTCCATATCCATGACCACCGGCAGCACCTGCACTTGCACTTGCAGCAGCATTGGCAGCTGCATTTGCTACACCACCACCAATTGCTGAAGCAACTGCATTAGCTTTAGCATCAGCATTGGCGCCACCTGCAAGGTGACCAGCTCCTTGTAAGCCAGCACCACCAGCAAGATGTCCAGCTCCCTGTAAACTAGCGCCAGCACCACCAGCAAGATGTCCAGCTCCCTGTAAACCAGCGCCAGCACCACCAGCAAGATGTCCAGCTCCCTGTAAACCGGCACCAGCAAGATGACCAGCGCCCTGTAAAGCAGCACCACCAGCAAGATGTCCAGCTTCCTGTAAACCTGCTCCAGCACCACCAGCAAGATGACCAGCACCCTGTAAACCTGCGCCAGCACCACCAGCTAGATGACCAGCTCCTTGTAAACCAGCACCACCAGCTAGATGACCAGTTCCTTGTAAACCAGCGCCTGCACCACCACCAAGATGACCTGCACCAGCACCACCATGATGACCAGCGCCACCACCATGATGACCAGCTCCACCGCCTTTACCACCACCTAAACCGGCAGAGGCATGACCACCAGCATTAGCACTAGCTGAACCATGTCCACCAGCACCATAACCATGAGCATTAACGCTTACGATGGCCACGATCAATAAACAAAGCAAATAATTTCATGATGTAACAAACACTTTTCGGAAACTGTTGCTAATAATGGCACTTGTTCCGACTTATATACTTAAGTTCTATTTGAAAAAATTTGCCAAAAAATCTAATTATAATTAACCAGATTTATTAAAAACAAACAAAATATATCTACTATTACTTTAAATAATTAAAAATACTTGTACTACAACAAATGATCATCATCATCATGTGCCTCTACAATATATATATATTTTTTATATTTGTTCAAAAATTTGAAATATTGATTGTTTTGGTTTTCAATTATAAATGTTTTTGTGCGAGCATTTTTGTAATTAATTAATATTAAAGCAGACAACTTCAAATATTCATACAAACTGGTATTTATTATCGTAGTGAAATTTTTTTTAAATGGTGATCTTTAGAAAAAAAGTTTAATAATTTTTATTATAAGAAAATAATATACTATACTTTTAGGATGTTAAAAATAAAATTTTAATATAACGAGGGTGGTTTTTAAAGATTTTACAACATCATAGATTTGCTTAAATTTTACAATTCTAAGTTTTTGGTGCAATACTAATTTATATCTATCCATAATAGACGCACAAAAATATTTACATCGATTGACCATAAGAACTGGTCCAATGAATCAACTGTTGACTGTCATATTCACCCTTCTCTTCATTAGTACAATCTACTAATCTCTTAATTAATTTCTTCTAATCCAGTTCTAGTTTAGTTCAGTTCTAATTCACTTCAGTTCTAGATCAGTTCTAGTTCAGTTCTAGTTCAGTTCTAGTTCAGTTCTAGTTCAGTTCTAGTTCAGTTCTAGTTCAGTTCTAGTTCAGTTCTAGTTCAGTTCTAGTTCAGTTCTAGTTCAGTTCTAGTTCAGTTCTAGTTCAGTTCTAGTTCAGTTCTAGTTCAGTTCTAGTTCAGTTCTAGTTCAATTCTAGTTCAGTTCTATTTCAGTTCAAGTTCAGTTCTAGTTCAGTTCTAGTTCAGTTCTAGTTCAGTTCTAGTTCAGTTCTAGTTCAGTTCTAGTTCAGTTCTAGTTCAGTTCTAGTTCAGTTCTAGTTCAGTTCTAGTTCAGTTCTAGTTCAGTTCTAGTTCAGTTCTAGTTCAGTTCTAGTTCAGTTCTAGTTCAGTTCTAGTTCAGTTCTAGTTCAGTTCTAGTTCAGTAGTTCAGTTCTGGTTCAGTTCTAGTTCAGTTCTAGTTCAGTTCTAGTTCAGTTCTAGTTCAGTTCTAGTTCAGTTCTAGTTCAGTTCTAGTTCAGTTCTAGTTCAGTTCTTCAGTTCTAGTTCAGTTCTAGTTCAGTTCTAGTTCAGTTCTAGTTCAGTTCTAGTTCAGTTCTAGTTCAGTTCTAGTTCAGTTCTAGTTCAGTTCTAGTTCAGTTCTAGTTCAGTTCTAGTTCAGTTCTAGTTCAGTTCTAGTTCAGTTCTTCAGTTCTA